CCGTGGCCCGGGGCATGCACTGGCCAGCAGTGAAATGTCCAGGCGACCACGCCAGGGCACACAGCCCAGAGCATCCCAACACAGGGAGCCAGCTCGTCCCATCCCTAGCAACAGAGGAGACACCAGCTTGCACCACGCCTCAAGGTAAAGATTTCTGTGTCTTTGGGCCACTTTGGCATTGTCTGGGATGAAAATGGCAAACTTGGGGACAAGAGTCATACATTTCCTTGCAAAGTTTTGTAGAAAGCAGGAGACACTTGTAAGCTGGGATGTAGGTGTTGTTTCGTAAAGGAAGAAATTGGGGATGTTGACTCTTTGCTCCAACATGTTTTGGGTGCAGAGTGATGTGCAGTTAGTGTGGTCCATGGAAATGCGGTTGCTGGGCTGCTTAAGGGACTTGGAAAATGAAAACAAAGCTGGAGGACACAGTCCCTCTCTGCTTTACCTGCCTGCACAGGCAGCAGTGCTGCTGGGGTGCCAGACAAACCCAGTGTCTACTGGGGATGCAGCTCTGGGTGGGGATATCTTACTAGAGTGCTCCACTTTGGACCATGCTGGGTGGGAGGCACAGCTCTGCAGCCCATGGTCTTACAGTGCTGCCCATCTGCAGTGCTAGCTCACATCATGGCCACCGAGATAAGGTGACATGATTGTGGGAGCAGGAAATTTGGAGGAGCTTTCCAGTTCTTTAATGATGCCTGGAGAAAAAAAATCTTCACAAACACAGCCAGGTATTTCAAATCCCAAACTAAAGGGAAGTTCCTGCACAGGAGATGCCAGGAGGTGACATGAGGACAAATCCTTGGACTGTTTGATGATGTTCCAGGCTGAGCACCACGTGCTGGGGTGGCAAAACTTGTATCATTTGGAAGGGATTTTTGTGACCAGGTTACAGCCAGGGGCATATGCAAAGGCTTTGCTCTAGTTTGCAAATACTTTGCTCTCTGTTGCAGCCACAAGGACCACAACCAACATGAGAGCCGTGTTCCTGGTGCTGCACCTCTGGGCCATAGTCTGCGCTCACCCTGTAAGTAAGGACAGGTACTCAAACCCCAAACCCCAGTGGTTTCACCCAGCCAAGCACACCGATCACTGATCAGATATCTCCTGGATATGTTTAGGTGCCTGACCATGAGCTTGCCCACCCACGCCGCAGTGCCCAGCAGGAGGTAAGTCCCAGTCATGGCAGCTGCTCATGGAGCAAGTCTGGGATGGGGAGCTAGCCCCAGGCAGGCATCCTTGGACCAGGAACCTGGGGGAAGAGCCGCTGCTTCTGCGAGTCTTTGAGCTTTGCCCGCCTACTCATTTTTTTCAAGCTGGGTTGGTTTCACCTCATTTTGCCTTGCCTCCTTGTGTGTATTCCCAATTCACTGGATGCATTCTGCTCTGTTGGTTCTGAAAAAAAGTATTTCTGTGGTCTGAACCATCATGATTTGGGCTTTTCTGGGTTGCCCTTTCATTGGTAGCTACTCTTTATTTTATTTTTTATTTTTGCATTACCAGAAACAACTGAAGGGCTGAGGTGTAATCAGTGAAAAATGCTTGAGCACTTGCATGGCTTAGGAGTGGTATAATAACCCACAGCAATAGCAGTAAAGGCACAGTAGTGTTCAATAAACCAAAACACCATGTCATGTTTTGCCTCTAGGACACAGCAAGTGAAGATTACATCAACAAACTGGGCAACCTGCTGGGTGATGGAGATGAGAGACATCCTCCTCCCAGTGTGGAGAGGGAGGACAATGCTCTTGCTGGGGACCTAACAGATGGGAACGCTGTCGGTGAGGAGCTGAGCGAGCATGGCAGCCGAGACAGGGGAGGCAGAGTTGTGGAGGCTCAACAGCTGAACCGAGTGGACCACCAGGACATGAGTGCCAGGAACGGGAACAGCCTTGGTTTCCTGGTGAGTGAGCAGAGAGGGGTGTTTTGCTCTGCCAGGAAAGCACACTCAGCCAAAATCTGCTGTCAGTCAGAGTAGCACTCAGTTTGCATCACAAACAGTGCCAATAGCACCTGTGACCTGCAGGCCTTTGCATTTGTCTCCATTTGTCACCTCTGTAGGAGGAGGATGCACGAGATGCTGATGATGGTGACAACAGAGAGCACCACGGCACTGGAATCGGTGGGCTGCCCTCCCATGCTGGCGAGCTCCTGGACGAGGAGGATGACAGTGGAGATGATACCTTTGATGAGAATGGGAAAGAGAGGGGTGAAGGTCCTACTCATGGGGCTGGTGCTGACGGGGCAGGTGAACGTGACCACAACGCTGGCCGTGGAGACACTGGGGCTGGTGGAAGGCACGGGGACAGCAGCAGCAGTAGCAGCAGTGAAAGCATGGGGGCTGATCACTGGCGGTACAGGAACTACCTCGGCAGCCGGTATGAGCGGGCCTACGGATGGGGAGGGGGCAGCAGCAGCAGCCAGGAGGAAGAGGAGGAGAGCTACGACTTTGACGATGAAGCCATGCAGGGAGATGACCCCTCCGTCTTCGATGGACCAGGCAGCAGCTACAAGGGACGTCGTGCTGGCCCCTATGCTCCAAGTAACAGCCAAGAGAGCGTCCCGGGGGCTGGCTCCCGACGCTGGGAGGAAGGTGACAGCAAGTCCCCAGAGGTGGAGGATGCTGACTCGGGAGAAGACAGCCCATCCATGGAGGACAACAGTGAGTCAGAAGAGCCTGTCACCAGCCAGTCAGAGGAAAATAGCCGCTCCAGGGAGGACAGGGATAGCGAGGACAGCCCCTCCAGGGAGGGCGAGGACAGCAAGTCCAGGGAGAGCACTGCTGAGCAGTCAGACGAAGAGCTGGGGGAGTCCCCAGAGGACATCTCCCAGGAGGTGGTGAGCACATCAAACGAGCGCAGCGGGAGCCGTTCCCAGGAAGGGCAGGAGGACCAAGAGCATGCCGAAAACAGGAGTGTGCTGTCTGTGCCTGACAGTGAGTCTGTGGAAGACGAGGGTGACCAGAGCAAATCTGGGGGAGATGATGATGACCAGAGCCAGTCCACGGAAGACACTGTGGAGGACTCAAATGAGGACAAGAGTGACTCCAACCCAGATGGAGACATGCTGAGCACATCAGCCGAGAGCCAGAGTGCATCCCCAGAGGATGATGGCAGCCAAGAGGATAATACGGGTGAAGAGAGCAGGTCCACAGAGAGCATCAACAGCGAGTCCCAGGAGGACGATGATGATGAGGAAAGCCACTCCCAGGAGGATGCCAGCCGTGAGTCCAGCAGCCGTGGGGATGACAGCTCGCTGCAGAGCCTTGAGAGCCAGAGCCACAAACGGCGGCCGGGCGCCTATCGCAACAAACCCGCTGCTGACTACGATGACAATGACTGCCAGGACGGCTACTGACACATGTCCCACAGCCTCATCAGTGCTGGGGGGTGCAGGGGGAGGAGGGGTTTAATTTATTTGCTATATAGTGTGGTTCACTTCTTCCTGGGAAGATGCTGTGGATAAAACGGAGGTGGGTTCGCCAGGGCTCAACATAGGGCACACTACACAGGGCACAAAGTGGGAGGTAATACCAAACACAGGGAAAACACCAAACTGCAGCAAGAAAAGCCATTTCCCATAAAATCTAAACAGAGAGCAGGCAAGAGCTGGGAGTGCCAGCAGGGTTGTGCTGCCTGCTTGCCATAGGGACACAGTGGTGGCTCAGCACTCTAGGAGCTGTGCCTGGGCATGCTGGGCAGGAAGATCTCTGCGTTCACCCCTTGTATTTACCTACCACTGCCCAAAAAGCATCTGCCTGGACACCAGTGAGAGTTTACCATTAGCTCCACATCCTGCACATAAGTAGAAAAAACTACAGCTGGTGTGCACACATGGTGTACAGGCTCGGTGGTGTGTGAAGTACCACTTCAGGATGGGATGTATGTAATATTTTGTAAGAAATGTACAGAAAAAATTATATTGTATCCTTTTTTTGCACTTGTATTTCAAAGCTGAAATGTACCCTGTTGATTTCTTTAATTACCATTAAAATCATCACACTTCACAGTGGTGCAATTTAAGATGTCGCTGTTTTTCTCTCCCGGGGCAGTTGGGTGCTGTGATTTGGGATCTGAGGCAAAGCGCAGGCCCTTTGCATGGGGAGCCACAACACGCTGGGGTAAGGGGGAAAGCAGAGGCTGAGCGGTGTTCCCATCCCCATATTTCCAGGCACCCCAAGGGCCACCCCTGCACCCAGGTGACCCAGCAGTGGCGTGGGAAAGCTGGCTAATGACCCCTGGCTTGGGGCTTTGCTAGGTTAATGACCACCACCTGCTTCTGTTTGAGCAAGGATTGCTCTGCTCTTCTTGAAGCTCTGGGAAGGAGATGCCTCAGGGTACAGGGAACTGCTGGCTCTGGGTGCCTGTGGCAGTCCCTGGCACCAGCTCCTCTGCAGCAGAGACACAGGTAAGCAGAGGAAAAGGGATTTTCATAGGCTGGGAGATCATGGCTAAAGTCTCTTTTATTCAGTGTGCTTTTTTTTTTCTTTCCTACCAACAAGCAAGTAAACAACACGTTATTTGTTTAAAATCTCATCCAGGCCCTTCTTACTTGTCCAAGTATGTACGATGAGCTGTACAGCATGGGTATCAATGCTGAGAGGAAGCTGTGGGCTGTTGTGTAGCTTGTGGCTTGGAGCTGTGGCTTTGCAGGCGAGTCAAAGGGGTCAGCATGAGTGGATGCATGCCTTTCAGGTGCCTTGGGTCAGCAGTGTCATTTCTGGGCATTGCAATACTGAATTCAAGAACCAGTAAAGTAATGCAGCTTCTCCATGATGTTGCCCTGAGAATGAGCTTATTTCCTGACCCTGCCTCCTCCACCCTACTAGACCCCACTTCACACTGGATACCTGGGCTGTGACTTGCCCCTTAATTTTTGTACCCCTTGCGTTAGCTGTGCGAGCAGTCAGGCACACTGATGGTGATGGCGCCTATCAGGGTTGTGGGTACCAAACTGCTCGTGTGCAGCCGAATTGCTGGGGTGAAAACCAGCAAGCATCCTGTATGACCTACTGTAGGTGATCCTGCTCTGGCAGGGGAGCTGGACTAGATGATTTTTCAAGGTCCCTTCCAACCCCTGACATCCTGTGGTTCTGTGATGGGTTTGGCTGTAGCCCAGAGGTGCCCAAAGTGCTGGGTGACAGCTGTCGCTTTAGTTTAAAATCATAGTAGTGATGTGTTTTCTGGCTTCTCTGCATGGCAGCGCAGGATAAGGAGCTGCTGTCAGCTCTCCCATGTCCAGCAAGTGGTGCTGCTGCCCAGGCAGCGAGGACATTTTGGGTGCCAGCTCTAATGAGGGGCTGGGTTACATCCCCGCGGCCGTCAGAAGTGGTGTTTGCCACCAGGAGGGGCAGGGTGTTTTTTTTCCAGGTCACTCTTAAAAGCAAGGGTGACCTGGAGCTCTGCAGCTCTGCAGTGAGCCCAGCCCCTGAGCAGAACAGGCAAGACATGGTCACAAGGGTGGGAAGAAACGGGCTCCGTGAAACTGCCTCTTGCAGTTTGTGTGTGACCTTCTGTCCGTCCTCATCATCTTCATGAGAGTGGCAGCACGGCACAGCTGGGGAGAGGGCCACTTGCCTTCGCCCCACTACAGAGGGGATGGCGAGGACTTCTCCTCTTGTTTCATGCGTGGAGAGAAAAGCTGGGTTGATCTGGCTTTAGTGTGAGTGGGAGGGGTGTGGGCCTTGCCAGCAGGGCATGCGGCAACCTGCTGCACCCTGTGCTGGAGGGGTCACCAGCTGCGCTCCTTGTGCACGTGGGTCACCTTTGCGTGCCTTCCCAGGGACGTGCATGCACGTCCCCTCCAGCAACGCCCAAAATTTGCCTCCTGCTGGCTGGCTGCTCCCCAAAGACTGGGGAGCTGGTGCCAGAGCTGGCTGCTGCCTGCTGGGACAGCTTCCCACTGGACCGACCCTCCAGGGCATCACGGGGCAGGAGGGGAAATTCAGTCTTTCACTGGGGAAATCTCCTGCCTGGCTGCAGGGAGGGAGCCACTCATGTTGGCCCCATGCAGAGACGCACCCAGCACTGCCAGCACATGTCTGTGAGGATGAGTGGGTTTGGGGGGAGACTGTAGGCACTGGGCTGTCCCCATCAAATGCTGTAAAATTCATGTGTGAGCAGGGACACCCCACTTGCCATCCAGAGAGGTTTGGTGGTGGGCAGTGCTTGACGGGGTGAGGTTTTAGATGCCCAGAGATGGCATGGTTAAAAAATGCTCACTTTTAGCATTTTAAGGCAGTTTTAGAAGCACCCCATGTTTTTTGCAGCATATACCTTGCACGGTGAGAATCCAAGGAGAGTGCTCCCACTCTCTGCTGTTGGGCAGGCAGGAAAAGCATCTGGGAAGATTGATGGTGGGCTCTGCTGTCACTGGAGGTGTTTCTGTATCTGGCTTTGGAATGATTGTGCGAATAATTTCTTCACTATGAGGGCAGTGAGACCCTGGAATAGGTTGCCCAGGAAAACTGTGGAAGCCCCCTCCCTGGAAGTGTTCAAGGCTAGGTTGGACAGGGTTTTGAACAACCCAGTCTAGTGAAAAGTGTCCCTGCCCATGGCAAGGGGGTTGGAACTAGATGATCTTTAAGGTCCCTAGCTAGTCAAACCATTCCATTAAAAAACAAACAAACAAAAAAAACCCACAGAAAGAAAGAAATTGTAAAGGTCAGCTTGCCTGGTGGATCAGGCAAGGATAAAAAGTGCCCACGTCAATGTATGCGTTTTAGTTATCCACCCACATGGTTTTCTTTCTGCATTGGGGGTGGCCTCTGAGCTGAACACAGTGATTTTCCCAGGAATCAACATTGGGGGTTTAAAGCAGATTTTTTTGGTCGCATTTGGTTTGTGAAAACATGAGTCTGCATCATCTTAAAAGAAAGCTTTCTCATTTACTTTTTTGTCCTTTCCAAGAAGAAAAAAATCTATTTTTAATAAGTAGCTGGAGAGGGTGAAGCAGTGGGAGGCAGCAGTGCTGAGCCTGGGTGCAGCAGCTGGACTTGGAGATCCACAGCACACAAGCTGCATTTATTCGACTCTCTTATTTTCCTGGCTTTGGTGGGAGAGACAGAAAGACCCTCACAAGGTGCAGGCATCTCTCAGCTTTTTTGGCAGCGCAGTGCAGCGAAGTGCCCTGGGCCCCTGTTTGTCTTTATCAAAATAGGAATATCTGTGGAAGAAACAATCCAATGGTCTGTCTCTTCTGTACCCACTGTAATGGATCTCTGTGGTGGGAACTGCTCCTCGCCAAATATGTGATGAGGCTGTGAGTATTTGATTGCATTTCTCTGCCCTTTCAATAGGGAGGAAAAACCTCTGACAGAATCAGTCACTGCTGCCGTCAATCTGAACAAAAGAAATATCTCAGCTGTGGGAAAAGAGCCTCTGACGTCAGGGAACCCAAAAAATATTACAAATCTTCGGAATGCTCTAAGGAAATTTTTCTCCTATCTCCTTTGACCGTCATGTACTTGAACAGTAAATAACTTTCCTCTGCCCCTAGATCAACCGTGTCCTGGGAGTTTTGTGGTTCCCCCAGAAATGCCCCAACAAATTGGGCACCACAGAATGGCACGTAAAATGTGAGCATTAGCATCCACCTGTACTGCACCCCCCAAACTCACTATGGAGACCTTAAAGCGGCACACTGAGCAAGTGCTTTGCAGTTCAGGTTTTTCTGTTTTCACACAGAATCACAGAATGTCAGGGATTGGAAGGGACCTCAAAAGGTCATCTAGTCCAGCCCCTCCTGCCAGAGCAGGATCACCTACAGTAGATCGCACAAGTACGCGTCCAGGCGGGTTTTGAACGCCCCCAAAGAAGGAGACTTCACAACCTCTCTGGGCAGC